AAATAGATTTTAGATTTTTCAGAAGTGTAAAAGTTTTTCACTTTTCCAGTTTGACTAGATTTAGGAGATACTAGGAATCGATCGATTTCTATAATAAATAAATTTTATATCTCAGAAGTGTAAAAGTTTTTCATTTTTCCAGTTTGACTAGATTTAGAGAATAGTAAAAATTGATAGATAATAAATAGATTTTTCAGAAGTGTAAAAGTTTTTCATCTTTCCAATTTGACTAGATCTAGAAGATAGTAGGAATCGATCAATTTATATAATAAATAGATTTTACATCTTTCAGAAATGTAGAAGTTTTTTACCTTTCCAATTTGACTAAATTTAGAAGATAGTAAAAATTGATAGATAATAAATAGATTTTTCAGAAGTGTAAAAGTTTTTCATCTTTCCAATTTGACTAGATCTAGAAGATAGTAGGAATCGATCAATTTATATAATAAATAGATTTTACATCTTTCAGAAATGTAGAAGTTTTTTACCTTTCCAATTTGACTAAATTTAGAAGATAGTAAAAATTGATAGATAATAAATAGATTTTACATTTTTCAAAAAGTGTAAAAGTTTTTCACCTTTCCAGTTTGACTAGATTTAGAGAATAGTAGGAATCGATTGATTTCTATAATAAATAAATTTTATATCTTTCAGAAGTGTAAAAGTTTTTCATTTTTCCAGTTTGACTAGATTTAGAGAATAGTAAAAATTGATAGATAATAAATAGATTTTTCAGAAGTGTAAAAGTTTTTCATCTTTCCAGTTTGACTAGATCTAGAAGATAGTAGGAATCTTTGGATTGATTTGTGTAATAAATAGATTTTAGATTTTTCAGAAGTGTAAAAGTTTTTCACTTTTCCAGTTTGACTAGATTTAAGAGATACTAGGAATCGATCGATTTCTATAATAAATAAATTTTATATCTTTCAGAAGTGTAAAAGTTTTTCATTTTTCCAGTTTGACTAGATTTAGAGAATAGTAAAAATTGATAGATAATAAATAGATTTTTCAAAAGTGTAAAAGTTTTTCACCTTTCCAGTTTGACTAGATCTAGAAGATAATAGAAATCGATCAATTTGTATAATAAATAGATTTTACATCTTTCAGAAATGTAGAAGTTTTTTACCTTTCCAATTTGACTAAATTTAGGAGATAATAGAAATTAATAGATAATAAATAGATTTTACATCTTTCAGAAATGTAGAAGTTTTTTACCTTTCCAATTTGACTAAATTTAGAGGACAGTAGAAATTGATAAATAATAAATAGATTTTACATTTTTCAAAAGTGTAAAAGTTTTTCACCTTACGTTTGACTAGAGGATAGTAAATATTGATCGATTGTGTAATAAACAGATTTGGGTTAGAGCATTCACGCGCCAATTGTCATTACGATATAATGATATTCCCGATGCAAAGAGAATTCTAAATTAAAGCTCGAGTTTCGATCGAGGTCCTTTAACGCGACATTAACGAGCAACCTCTAGAAAATTTTTTATTTTTAGAAAATTTATTACGCCTTTTAGAAAATTATTCACTACTTTCTTTTGATTTAGAAGAGAATAGAAATTGATCGATTTGTGTAATAAATAGATTTTACATCTTTCAGAAATGTACAAGTTTTTTACCTTTCCAATTTAACTAAATTTAGAGGATAATAGAAATTGATAAATAATAAATAGATTTTACATTTTTCAAAAGTGTAAAAGTTTTTCACCTTTCCAGTTTGACTAGATTTAGAGGATAGTAAGAATTGATCGATAAATAGATTATACATCTTTCAGAAGTTTTTCACCTTTCCAGTTTGACTAGATATAAAGAACAGCAAAGATCGATCGATCTGTGCAATAAATAAATTTTACATCTTTCAGAAGAAAAATCCTAGAAGACTCTCGATTCGATTTAAATCTCGACGAGCCGAAAGAGGGAAAACTCGCATCTCCAATATCGTCTTTCATTCGTTCACGAATGAGCGAGTGAACAATTCACGAATTCATCTTCGAGAGCCACCACCACTATATTCAAAAATCTCGAACGCTTCGCCGCCAAGCTTTTCTCCGTCCACGTCCGACAATCGAGCATCCCATCCGCACCTTTCGAGCAGAGTTTAATATTCGAAACGCGCCCTCGATTCGCGCGTCCCCCTCCACAACTTCCTCTGCCCGTCAAAGCAATAGCTGTTCGCGGGGGGGCTTCGGCCCGTGTTTTTCGGATCGAGATTAAGAAAATCTCTCGCGCTTTCGGGGACATGCAAAGGATAATCCTAAGGTGAAACGTGGCAGTGAAAGGACTGCTCCTCGTAATTCTCCCGCGTTTACCGTGTGGATGAAGCTCCTATTTTTGGGCGAGGTTTGTCGAGAGACCAAGTTTGAATTTTTTTTCTTTTTGGTTTGGTTTGGGTCGAAATCGTGCTCGAAAAACTCACGGATTGCTTCGAAGAAAATTGTTGTGTATCTTGGATTGTGTATAGTGTGTTTAGTTATTGGTAAGTTATAGGGGTTTTGTTTGTATTTTTTTAATTTTCGTAAACAAATGAGTGTGTAAAAATTGCTTTCTTTCTTTGCACTTTCTCACTTTTTCTCTCAGTTTTTTCTTCGTGTCTTTTCTCTATTTTCACGGTGGCGCAATTTATTTCTCGCGACCGGATCGTTTTCTGAAGTAGCGTTCAACCGTGCGTGCAAGCGTGTACGTTTGCCATGGGTATAATTTCATTTCTCTTGGAAATTTAATCGTCAGATTTATCGCGCCGATCTCGCTTCCTTTCTCTTCGCCTTGCATAAACTTTGAACGGGCTCTCGTTTCGCGCCCCTTCCTTTTCGACAATCGAACCCCGGCGAGGATTAGGAAATCGTTTCGCTTCTTTTTCCTCCGTTTTTTTCGCTTGCATTCTCCATTTCCTCCTCGCGTTCATCAAGTGTTTCAACCTCGTGGAAATTTTCTTCTTCTCGAGTGCCCGTCGAGCAAAAGTATTTCGAGTATTTTATTTTTTTAATTTTAATCTCGATTACGCGAAATATGATCATGAAATTTCCAGAAATTTCGTGGAAATTCTCGAGTATTCGTCCTCTACACGAGCAAAATTATTTCGAGTTTCTGTCTTTTAATTTTAATTTCGATTACACGAAACATGATCACAAATTTCCAGAAATTTTATGGAAATTCTCTTTTTCTCGTGTATTCGTCGTCATTTGTACGAGCAAAGGTGTTTCGAGTTTATTTTAATTTCAATATTTTCAAAAAATTGT